TTACAGTCAGATTACATATGTCTATATTCAACAGAATCTTCAATTATCACACTGCTGCATTATTATATTTGTTAATATAAAGTTGTTTAAAAAAACTAAAATCTTCAAAAGGCAGGAAATTAAAATAGTATGTTTCTTATTGTAACATTAACTCTCCAACATTGCACATGCTCTTCTTATTAACATCGGGTTCTAGGCAGCTAACAACTATTGAAGAAGTCTGGGACAAAAAGGATAAACAGGTTATCATGGAACTATACTATTGCATACTTCCTAGAAAGTTTGTTTTGGATGGATTGCACATGTTATATACGTATATTAGGAATGCATGTGTGTTGATGGTGTCAGAGGACAATTACACTTAAAGGTTTCTCTTTGTACTTCCTGGAAAATTAGCTGAGTTCAAAGAGAAAATAAATTGGCCTTATTGTTTTTTAAAAATCTGTAGGGAGGCAATTGGGGAGCCTATCCACATGCATGGATTTAATCCTCAAATCTACCTCTTTGTCCCCAGTTATCCTCTTTAATGCAACTCTGAGTCTCTCATTACCTGCAGGATATTTTCAATGATTCTTCTTTTCACAATTCTAATCTTAACAATTAAATAAATATCATTTGTTCAACACAGATTACATACTTTAATGCTACAATATCTGGAGAGAAAACTTGTGATACATTGTACTGGCAATGAGGATCCATGGGTCTGAATTTTAATTCTGTTATTATTTATCTGAGTGATTTTGGGTAAGCAGCCTTCTTGACCCTCAGTTTACTCATTAGTAGAATGAAAGGGTGTTCTTTATAATGCCTTTTAGCTCTAAAATGAAAGACTTATCCAGCAGACTTACTTTATGTTCATATACCCTCATTAAGAGTTGATGATCATCATGTATATTGATCTCCTCTTTACAAGCTTTACAAAAATGATTTCTTAGATTTTATTATTTTCAGTATTATCTAAAAGGAAATGAGTTTTAAGTAAAAGAAAAATAAAATCAAGTATAATTGGTTAGCCTTTAAAACAATATTATAGAAAAAGTAACAACTGGGTTTCTTTTTCTTGTTTCATGATAGCTACATATCTTTTATAATATTGTAGTCATATATGTATCAACATTGAGTGGAAAGACCAAGGTTAGCTGTTCAATTAAACTGGCTTTGGCCAGTTTTTCAAATGCCTGTGTCATGATAGATTTAGTTAGGGTGCAGGTCACAAGTTATTAGGGAGAATGAATAGGGCAGATGGATTGTATGTCTGCAGTGTTAGCTGTATGGGTTGCTGCCCTCTATGCTGAATCTTTAAAACCTTGTATTATAAAATTGTAAATCCCTATGTTTTTCCTTCCTGAATCTGAAGTAATGTTAACTATTTATTGCTTTATGGACTCTAAAGACCATATATCAACATAATATACACTTAATATATACTTTATAGTAATATAATCTATAGAACTCTTTTTAATATTTGGAATCCGTATTAATTTCCTTCTGAAATAATTGAAATCATCAGAAAGCACTACTTAATGTCATTAAGTAATATGTTAGAATTGCATTGTTATATTTTATGGTATGAAATCTTCAAGATGAAGGGATAGTTATTAAATGTCAAAGTATAGGTCTCTCATTTAGAGATAGAGAGGGGTGAGGAGTGTTCTAACCGTCTGCCTATAGAATTCACAAGAAGAAAGAACTTTATCTCATACACACAGGCAGTTGAAACCTCTGAACTCTAATAGGAAATGCATGCTTTAAAAAATAAGCATTTGAACTTTTTTAAAGTGTTTAGATTATGTCTTAAGAAATATTTTTAAGGAATTTATTTTTGTTTTGTTACTTCTTTAATAAACCTTTACTATGTCTCTATACAATTGATTTGTAATAACTCCTGCTGAGTAAGACAGAATGAGACTCACGGTGGATTTCCTTGACTCTTGTGCTGCTCTCCGTTCTCAATAATGCTGTAAGCTAGAGGGACTAATGTATTTTACCAGCGCTTTCTTTATCATTGTGGAAAGCAGGGAAGCTAATCAAAGATAAACCACTTTGTGGCTATCAGGTTGTTTTTTGATAGTGAATCCAATAATTGAATATAATGTTAAGTATTTCAGTATACTTATTTTCTATTTTTAGTTTACTTTCATTTCTGACCATTTAGCATTTGTCCTTGTTAGAGCCCCCGCTTGAAGTTTTTTCATGTAAATGTTTAGAAATTCATCAAAAGTAAGATTTGAAATTTAAAAAAATATAGCAAGGATATGTCTATTCAGCCTTCATCATCCATATACTTAGAGGCATTGTGTCACAGTGGTTAGAGAGCCTGCCTCAGCCAGGAAGGACCTGGTTTCAAGACCTGTCTCAGTCACATGATAATAACTCTGGGCAAATAATTTCCCTCTCAGTTTCCCAGGCAACTTTTTGAGACACTAAGATGCAGCTCCTGCCACCCACATTGGCAGAGAAAGGTTAGTCATGAGAAGTTCCTATACCAATGAAATCACAAATCTAGTCCAAAATAATTACTATTATTACATGATATGTGTTAAGTATCCGGTATGTCCTGACCTAAACCATATATCTGAAGCCAAAGATTACACAGCTTTCTCCTACATACTACCATGTCTGAATGGGAGGTCAGAGGATTGTGTTTTATTTACTTTGATGTGTATAGTATGATTCACTTCAATTTTTATGTACTTAATAAATTTTTGCCAATAGAATTGACACAGTATTCTCCTAGAATGCCAATTCTTTGAAAATTTGGTATTTCTGCATAACATCTCTGAAAATAAACCTTTTTAAGTTTTCCCAGAAAAAAATATTTTTCAGAACTTTTTGAAGTCACATTAGTTGTAGCTTCTTTTTTGAGGAGAGTTTTATTTATTTTATTATATTTTAAGTTCTAAGAATAATGGAGCTTCCACAAAGGTAGGTGGAGGCAGCTAGGTGGTACAGTGTTAGAGAGCTTGGCCTGGAGTCATGAAGACCTAAATTCAAATCCAGCCTCAGAAATTTCCTAGCTGTGTAACCCTGTTCAAGTCACTTAAATGCCGTCTCCCTCAGTTTCTTCAAGTGTAAAGTGGGAATAATAATATAGCATCTACCACCCCAGGGTTGTTGTGTGGATCAACTGAGATCATATTTGTAAAGCGATAGCACAGTATGGCAGATAGTAGGCACTTAATAAAAATTTGTTTCCTTCCATATACCTACCACAATATAATCAGTGAAAGGACATGATGAAATTTTAAATGCCTTATGATCTCTTCATGAGGTAAGAATGTGTTTGGTTCAAGAAGGGAATAATTGATTGGCCAACTCAACAAATTGACCCATGTTTCTAGGGGCTTTAGATAGCTACAGATATTTCAGCAGAAGACAGTCCAGCAGAAAAGCAGTCAGATAGTAGAAGACTCTAAGAATTAGAGGTAGCACCTAAGGTTTAGGATTCTTTTATCTGTAGCAAAGTGGGTCAGGCCAGAGGGAGTATTATACTTTGTCCTTTCCCTGTCTACTGCTGTCTATGTCATTGGAGAGATTGTACATTGAAGGACTCTCTGAAGAACAAATTAGATAAACATTAACCCAGACAGATACAGAAAGATAGCCACCTGAGGAAGGAAACACCTTGCACATCAGAGAGGAATATGGACTGGTTCATAGACTAGTTATGGACTTGAGAAAGGAATTCTAGTAACCAGTTTAGTTTATATCCTTTGGCTACATATGTTCTCTAAACTCAGAGGCCACTGTGTAATGGATGGATTATAATTGGGAGAGAATATGCCCTGGACTTTTGGGTCGATTTTTTTTCAAATCAACTCCTTTTACTACGTAAATACATTTTACTAATACACTAATTGTCTGCTGACTGATTGAAATAAGAAGCATACCAATGGGGGCTTGTGCATGACAGTACTAGAAATCTGGCACTTCCTTCAAGAACCCTGAAAGTAGTAGGCAGCTAACCTCTAGGGACCTGCCACCAATATAGTTGGGAGTTGGAGAAGTATGTCCACAAAAAGCACTAACTAAAGAAAATTTAAATGTGTAAAACTGTCTGCATGGACATTATATGTATTCTGGTTATCTGATTTAATGGCAAATAGATTTAAATGAGGTAGAGTAATTAAAAAAGTCAAAACTTCATTAGGATTTTCCCAGGGAACCCTGTACTCTTGGATGTTTCTAAGTGACAGTGGTTGCTGTGTTAGCATGGGTGTCCTCTTAACCTTTTTCTTCAAAGGTGAAACAGGGTCATAATCTGTTTACAATTGATGGCATCCCTTTATTTCTAATTATGAAGCTATCCTCTATTCATGGCATTCCATCAGGCTTGGTAAGGATGAAGATAACAGTAGAAAACAGTTGAAATAGTAAAGCTTGATTTGATAAAAATTATAACCGTTTACTAAAATAAAAAGAAAACTTTAATGGGACACTGATGACATTTTCATAAGGACTTTAAAAGTATTATTATGTTAACCATCCTGAAAAAAATTCCTCCAAAATTTTTATTATGAGTGAAATTAACATGTACAAAATAATACAGCCGGATATAAATATATGTGTGTATGTATGTACACACACACACACACACACACACACACACACACACATTCAGAGAGTGAATATGGAGACCTGTAAAAGGAGCCATGTTTGCTGACATTGAAATCCAAAGTAGGTCTTCATGAACAGCTTATCTTCTGTGTTCATTCTTTAGGACCAAGACTTGGGATTTCCTCATGCCAGCTGGTATTGCAGTGGTACTGCTCACCAGCTGCCTGTGCAGTGGTGGCTGCTTGTATGTCTGCATTTTGCAACTATTGCCATGAAATCAGGTTCCTGGCAAGCGTGGAGAAGCATAATTCAGCATAAAGGGCTTACTTTTCCATGAGTGCTTGCTTTTCATTGTGTTATACTTGTATTAAATGTTACTGAAATAAACACATTTTTTTTTCTTGCCCCCTTGTTTACCTTTTCATTATGTTTTTCTTCTCTAGCTTGTGGCCGTGGGTTCTACAAGTCTTCTTCCCAAGATCTTCAGTGTTCTCGATGTCCAACTCACAGTTTTTCTGACAAAGAAGGATCTTCACGATGTGATTGTGAAGATGGGTATTACAGAGCTATTTCTGATCCACCATATGTTGCTTGCACAAGTGAGTGGACACAATCGTGAAAAGAAAAATAAGGCTGTTGTTTAACCAGCCTGTCTCACTTATTGATAGTGTTTTCATTAAGATATGGAAAAACAACCATAAAATAACTGTATTTTAAATAGTTTTACCTGAAAAGGTGAAATTAAACTGAGAGACAAAGAGTATGTAAAATCTGAAGTAAGCTAGTGTAGTGTTCATATAGGCATGATGTAACCTTGTCCAAACCACTATTTCAAAGCAAAGCTTTAAAAGGCATGTGATATCATTACTCTAGATAATGTCTCTACCAGTTTAGATTGCTACCCCTCCCAGACTTAATGGAGAGTCTTTCTGAATTGCTGTGGATTGAAGAGATTATCACCTGGTCTCCAGGCTTTTGGTGATAAGCCTCTACAAATTTAGATAAGGCAGTCAATTTCTGAGCCCAAATAGGGAAGCTTTGGCCTTTTAGCAGCACAGTGGCAGCAGCAAGGTGGTGCTGTAGATAGAGTGAGGTCTTGGAGTCAGAAAGTCATGAGCTTGAATCCAGCCTCATACACTTATTTAACTGTGTGACCCTGGACAAGTCACTTACCCTCTCATCCTCAGTTTCCTCATCTGTAAAATGTAGGCAGTGATAGCAGTACCTCACAGGGTTCTGGGTGAGAATCAAGGGACATATTACACACTTTGAAAATCTAACAGTGCTATAGAAATGCTAGCTGCTATTACCGTTGTGCTGGTGTTTGTGCTGGTGATTATTGTTATAATTATTAAGACTTTCCAGGGTTTATTATCAAATTGCATACCTTTTCTAAAAGCAGGGTGAACCAGGGTCATTGGATTTCAGTTGAGGGTTAAACCAATATATTGGATAAATACTTAGTTGTATCTAGGGGAATCTAAGCACAGTTTTTCAATAGGTTTTACACATGTATCTAACAGAATATATTATTAAAATGAATAAAATGAGAAACTGATGAGAAACTTGTATGGATTTGAAGTCTGATTAAAAAGTAATGGGTCCTGGATTAAAATTCCATCACAAAAAAAGAGCAACCTAGAAAGACTTGTCCTTCAATTAATGAAATTTTGAAAGTCCAGAATCCAAAGCTGATCCTTAATACTACTACAAATCACATCAGAGCACACCTAGAATGAACAAATGCCTTCTATGCTACCTGGCTGAAAAAGGAGGAAAAATTAAAAATAGCTTCGCAACTCAACTTTTGGGGTACTTTAACTGATCTTTTTCTGATTGCATGAAAGAAAAATAGCTTAAAGTCAGTGGCAATAAATACAAAGACAGTTGTTATCCTCTCAGTCTTTATATATTAAATGGAAAATGAAATTTCTTGCCAAGTGAATTTAAGAAGGGTTTTTTTTAATGAAGCTTCTGTAGTAAATGTAATGAAATGTAATGAAATGTTTATATGAAGGAAAGCATTTCAACTGGTTTGTTCTTCAGTAATTAAACCACTAGCTCAATGCCCTACATTGTTTATATATTTTTTTCTTTTCCTAAGGACCTCCATCTGCACCACAGAACCTTATTTTCAATATCAACCAAACCACAGTGAGCTTGGAGTGGAGTCCTCCTGCTGACAATGGGGGAAGAAATGATGTCACTTACCGAGTTTTGTGTAAACGGTGCAGTTGGGAACAAGGTGAATGTGTACCCTGTGGGAGTAACATTGGGTACATGCCCCAACAAACTGGATTAGCAGATAACTATGTCACTGTCATGGACTTATTAGCCCATGCCAATTACACCTTTGAAGTTGAAGCTGTCAATGGAGTTTCAGATTTAAGCCGTTCCCAGAGGCTTTTTGCTGCTGTCAGTATCACCACTGGTCAAGCAGGTAGGTTTTTCTAATGATCATGATTTTTCATATGAGGTACCTATATTTAGATGTTTCCTTTGAACAGAGTTAATCTGCACTTGGTTATACATGGACTGGTTGTTTTGGTTTGGTGATGATGAAAGATTTTTAATTCTCTTTCCTTTTTTTTTTCCTGCTGCTTTTCTGGTCATTTCCCTTTTCATGATCATGTCCACCAAAGAATTTTCAGGGGAAATAAAAGGAAATGAAATTCAAACCAGTTATTTCCAGATTTCAAGCAGTGCTAGTGAGCAGTTGAGTTGGGGAGGGAAATGGAGTTAATGACTACAGTTAAGCTTGAGATTTTTTTTAATGGAGTTCAGTTATCTGCATGATATTTTAAAATTCTGTATTATTCTGCATAATCAAGAGTTGATTGTGTTATCTCATTCAGTGCCATCTAGGGAAGTTGTCAGTCCACAACAGCTAATATGGTTCTCTTTTGCCAGGTTTACACTGGCAAATTGAACTAGATATTTAAATTCACCATTTGATTAGCTACCCATAGGAACAAGATTGGAACTTGGCAAAATCTTGAGATCAGTTGAGAAAGAAGTTCCACAGACATGTGAATGTCATATTTGTATCTTACTTCTTAAGGGCACAAACTTGCTTTTCACTTTCTAACACATCACGGCTTTCTTTTCAGCTGTCCTTGTCAGTCATGTTTTGTGATGGCAAGTATGCTTTGAAAAAGGTCAAACCAGAGAACAGGTGTTAGAAATTGGCCACTTTTCGCCCATTTAGTAGGCCTATCACTTTTCCGGCTAGGAAACTGATTTGGCCCAAGACTACCTTAGGATTGGCACATCATTGTAAGCTTTCCTAGGTGTCCTTAAATGATGTACAATTACCTTAAAGGTGAAACTGCCACATTAAGGAAATATCTAAAGTAACTACTTTCACGGCTAGGTTCTGGCACCTGGACCAGTATATTCTCCATTTTAATATATAGTTTTTACTGTTTGAAAGTTTAAAGTTTTAGAATAGAAGCTCTGAGGGGTTCTTATTCTTACTTTTTAAACCAGTACTAGATTAAAAATGTTGCTTCATTCTGTTTACTTAAATATAATATTTCAGATGTTAAATCAGATCACCAGGGGTATAAACATATGTTTAAAATTATGATTTTGGAATTATCTTAATATTTTAATAATTGGTCCTAAGAAATGAGTGATGCAGAGACACATGTATTCCATAAATATTAAATGTATAAATAGATATTATAAATACATATAGGTAGCTAAATCTGTATATATTAACAAACATGCATATTTTAGTTAGTGTTATTTAAAATGAAATTTTTACTCCTTAGATAGAATAAGGAGAATGCTTTATTTAAGAACTGTTTAGATATCTGTGGACTAATTTGGTTTATTCACCTTTGCTTTCCTGTAGCTTTGAAAGATACAGATATAGATGTCTCTATATCTATTTACTTGAAATAGAGCTATTTCCCTAATATTGAAACCTTAAATTATTTAATCAACTGAAATCAAGTAAAATAATTGTAATTTCCATTAATCACTGATTTGTCCAATGCTGGCAACATTTGGTGCAGCAGGCAACTTTTTAAGTGTTTTTTTTTAATATTCTGCAGATCATGAGCTAAAACTTCTAATTTAGCTTAAAAGAATAACCATTGTTTTTAATTACTTTTGTCCAGTTTCTCCTGTTGTTAGCCCTCAAGTAAAATAGCTGGCAGTTTTACCATAAATTTTCTGAATCTGGTCTTTCATTGTATATTTTTACTGTAACATCTAATGGCATTAAATGTAAATTAAAGAGACCCCTAATGTGTATACAGGATTACAAAAGGTCATAATATTATATTAATTCAAAATTATAAAGGCTCATTTGCTTCTTAAATATAAAGTGTGTTTAAAAGGCAATGAAGTTACATTGATTTTACTCTTCTGAAAAAAATTACATGCTCAAAGGAGGAAAAAACGGCTTATGTTATTTTGCATTTAAATAGGCAGTAAAATGTAGTTTTAATTCAGAGTTGCTCTTTTCTATTTTTTTCCTGATGAAAAACTTGGAACATTTAAGTCACTATTATAACTACTGTTTTTAGAGGCAGAATGATATAGTAGGAAGTGCCTTGGCTTTGAAGTCAGATAACCTAACTTCTAATCCTAGTTCTGCTACTGGTTACCTGTGTGAGCTTAGATAAGACACTGAATATTTCTGAGCCTCCTTTGTAAAAAGAGAATAATAATAATCATACTACCTATATCACATGATTCTTTGAGGAAAGTGTGTTGTAAATTTATAGTGCTATATTGATTCAAGTTCTTATTGTATTTGCTTATTATCTCTTCCCTCTCTCTTTTTACCCTCATAGTTTCCCTTTAAAATTTGGGAATTACGTAAACATCTGTGTGTGAGTTCAGGGTCTCTTTAGCAACCTTCATTTATCTTTGAAATCCTCACCAACAGTTATTAAAATATAAAATAATTCCCACAATGTCATATATTAGTCAATGGCAATATTAATTGGAATCTTAACAAGTTGCTATTCCTTCAGCAATTCCTTTATTCTTAAAGTAAAAGGTTACTTTTTTTAAAGGCAATTTTATTTCTTAGAAAGGCTGCTTTATGTGAAATGTTTGTGAGTTTATGAGAGGAAGGCAATATTGTACAAATGACTGAAAGGTGATTTTTCTATTTGGAATTTCTTTTCCTTTAAAATTTCAGGTTTGGGCCTTAAACAAAGAAGGCGGGTCCTTCAGTCTCAGTTTATTGCTCATAGCTCTTCATGGGGCTGACATTTCTTTAAGAGAGAGAAAGCCTTGACTAGAATGCAAAAAGAAATACAGAAATAAGGAGAGAAATGGTTGTATGTTGGGAAATAAGTATTATCTGGTTCCTCCTTTCTTGCCTGGGAAGTGGAAGGTATGGAAAGAAAACAGGAGCTGGAAAATACCACTTTGTTCATTTGTTATTACTTACCTCCCTCCACTTTTTCCTCCTCAGGGTCCGACCCTAAATTGGATCTAAAACATTGTGGTCAAAAAGTGAAAGATGGAAACAAATGCTTATGTACAACTTTGATTCATTCATGTAAAAATGTGTTGAGGTTTATACCAACAACGTCCCAGGGATGTGTAGAAAGAAAGTATTCCAAAAACTTCAGTGCCCTCATGCCCTGTTTAATCTTGCAAAAACATAAAAAAGAATCTTGTGGCTAGCAATGATTATCTCACAGGTGGGGCTGTGTCTGAGCAAGGGAGCAGTAGGAGGGGAGGAGGAAGGGAAAAGATGTTCCAGTTTTAGGATCTTACCACATTTATTAGTAAGTTTTCATTTCCCAATGTGAAAGTGTAAAAGGGCCTAGAAAATGTATGTTTCATTTGTCTTCAACAACTGAAGCAATTTTGTTTCTTCATTGAAGTCCATCAGTGACAAGTGTCATCTTTAAGAAGGTTGAAAAGCTTTATTTCATTCCTTCATGTAGAGCTGCTTTGACAAGTAAACATTGTCCTCTAATGAATTTCCATTTTATTCCAGGACAGTGGTTCTTAATTTTTTATATCATGGACCTTTTTGGCAGTCTGGTGAAGCCTATGAACCACTTGCTTTGAAAACATCTGTAAAAGCTAGCATTTATGTAGAGCTTTAAGGTTCGCAAAGTACTCTGTATATTGTCTCACTTGATCCTCACAATAACCCGATGACATATTGTCCTCATTTTACTGATGAGGAAATAGACAGAGAGAGGTTAAGTGATTGTGCCCCAGGGTCTGTTGAGTATCTGAGGCAAGATTTGAACTCGGATCTTCATCACTCCCAATGCAGCACTTGTACTTACTATACCACTTGGCTATAATGTTTTTAAATGTATAAAAATAAAACACATAGAATTACTAAGGAAGTCTGTTTTAGTGAAACAATTGCCAAAATATTTTTATAATCATTCATGAACTCCCTGAAATCTGTTCATGGACTCCTTTATCCTAAGTTAAGAACCTCTAATTGTTCTAGGGTTTCTTGCTGATGCTTAATTTTAATAACTGTAAATGCTACAAATGAAATAGACCATTAATCCCTTATGATTTGGTTAGATAATTGCCATACTTACAGATGCCACAAGAATGGGTTAGACTTCTTAAATCAATAAACCAGCAGGTTTTCACTGAGTGTCTGTTCTGCACCTACTCCTTTTATTGCTTTGGCAAAGGATGTGTTGATCTATTTCTGTACTTGTAGAACTCATCATGTAGCTCTAGAGATCTCTAGATATCTCTGAAGGGCTATATGTCAATATCAAAAAATAACTATATACTTGTATATATGTCTGTAGCATACAGGTAGATGAGCTAGATGTAGATTTAGATACACATATAGATATGACATGTGCCCCAGTATCCAAATTATATATTTTTGGAGGCAGAAAACTAGTAAAAACAGATTATTCCTTGTTTGCTAGAAATCTCCTTAATTCTTCGTTCAGCCCAAATTTGTAAATAATACATCCATGAGCTCAATTAGTTATAGAAACATTTCTTAAGCACTTTTTGTATGCCAGCCACTGTGGTAAGTGCTAGTGATACATTTAAAAAGGAAAAATAATCTCAGTTCAGAAACAAGAAGGACCTTTGAGTTCTTCAGCCTCCTTCCAGAAAGGGGAGGAGGAGGAGGAGGAGGAGGAGGAGAGAGAGAGAGAGAGAGAGAGAGAGAGAGAGAGAGAGAGAGAGAGAGAGAGAGAGAGAGAAAGAGGTTGCCCAACAAAATAATAGACTTGTGTTATTATTTAATATTTACAGTCAAATTAATTCATTTGGTTAGCAACTGTATATAAAGTGCATTATAGTGTGTGAAATATATAGTCAGAATACCTTGGGACTTAGTTTCAAAATCTAAGTATACATATATTACATATGTAATTAGATTTTGAAACTAACTTTGAGTGTACCTATAATAAAAGTTTTATGAAAAGATATGGAAAAGAATCCTATAGGAGAATAACATATTGA